TAAACTCCAACTACCTTCGATTCTGTTCGAGAGCATATTTTAAAGTTTTCATTTGCATTTCGATGTCGTGTTGGGGTTAAATGCAGGCCACCTTTCATAACCATTTGCACCTGTCCGGGGCTCTCGATCTCTCTAAGAACAACCAAGTAACAAGAGCCAGTCAATTAGGCAGCCAAAACAATGGCACTTTGGTACGAGGAGGATGGTCCAACCAAGCCCAGAGCATGGGCATCCGTATCATCAGTATCTGTATCTTTATCTGCATTGATTTGGCCGGGCCTTAATTTGATGGCTATCGTAGGGGATGGTATGGGCCCAGTCCTCCTGTCCTGTGGCATCTGCGTGCCTGAATTCTCAGGGAGGCCGAGAGAAGACGACTCTCAAAATTGCTTATCACAGTTGCACAATCAAAAAAACAAAAAGTAGAATCGCAATACGCACCAGCATAACGAGATACTCGTTCTGTGAGATACAAATGCGGGAGGGTGTTTGGGGGTCAAAGGAAGCCAAGTACGTGGCGTAGACAATCAGACGGTAATGTGTGCAAAACAAATCAAGCAACACTGAGTGATATAATCAGGCAGCCAGGGTTGCTTAAGAACTTTACCAAAAATGATGCAAGCCATCCAGCCATTCGACATTCAGATATGTAAGTGTATCCTCTGAATTCCCAAGTGTTGCAGTGGAAAATGGCAAAATCATGTTCCTTATTGAAATTGATGGAAGGCGTCTGGAATGCGGGGGAAAGAATTCATTATAGTTGTTATTAAAAATACCTATTGGGTGGGTAGCTTAGCTATATAGGGCTTTGAATGATTGATTAATCTCTTCTAGAACTCGCAGATCTTAATGTATCAAATCTATAATGTTTACTAAGACTACGACTAATATCAGTCTCACCCATCCCTAGATCTCTTTAACTCATCGTATAGACTATATTCAGAGCTACTGCGACGAAGGGCTTGTCAACAGGCCATCTTTGTCGCCGCGGGCACTGACACATGCAAGCACTGAGAGAAATTTCCAGGCTTAAAAATGGTTGAGGTTTTAGGTACTTCATTGCCTTGACTTGACCTTTTTTCAGTGTAGATATGAGCGTATGAGTTTGAAGCTGCAGGCGTCGTGGCTGTCTCCTTCTCACCATTTTTCATTTCATTGCGCCGCTGCACATGGCTGTCAACTGCCAGGCCCAGGAGAAGTGGCTCGAGACGCAGATGGAGATGGTGAAGGGCGATGGTATATGGTAGATGGTAGATGGAGGCGGAGATGAAAGCGGATTGGAACTGGAACTGGAGATGAAGATTGTAGTCTAAGCCGCCCGCTCGCTCAGCTGCACCAGCTTCTTTGGACCGAGTCCTTTTCGAATGAAAAGGAGTCGCGGCGGAGGCTTACGAAAAGTAGAGGGGGCCCATAAGGACGCGCGCCCGCATATCGATTTCAGCGCATTGTGCCCTGTTTGCATACAAATATCCTGAGGACATGTCACAGAGACGCACTGTGCATCCTGGCACACGTACGCATGTAAATTGTATTTGTGGATGTGCGTCTGTTGAGCTCCTCGCCCCGAAAGCCCAAACTTATGCCCGATCCTTTCAGCGACATCCTTGAGCTTCTTGTGCTTGATTTCATTTGCTCGGGCAATTGTCTTCGGCGGCGTCTGCCTCGACTTTATTTTTTCTGCCAAAAAAACTTCCACGCAAATTCGAATTCCTCGCTCTTTGGCAACTTGTCAGCCAGCCATTTATTCTTCTCACTGTTTTTCTTTTTTTTTTCAACAACTTTTCTGTAAAAAGCATTTAGGAGTTCGATCCGGGTGCATGTGCCGCGGCAGGACCTTTGTGCTTTTGTGCGTCGCGTTCTCGTTTTCACAGCCACAATGCCAAGACAGCGAATTGGCCCTCGCTTGTGCCTGTTTGTGACATTTGATGTTTAATTTCAATAACTCAGTTCGAAAGCATTTTGAATTTCCTCCTTTTTTCCTCCATTTTTCAGGGGGGGCTGCTGTGGAATTGACGGGTGTTAGTCCCCGATTCCAATTATAGCTGTCCAAAAAAAAAAAAAATTACACAAGACTTTACATGAGTGGGACTTCCCCAGAACTTTAATCAACCAGATTTTGAGATTGATTTAAATTTTAGATGATTTACGTTCCAGAACTGAACTGGATTTCCACTGGATTTATTTTCAAATTTCCTTTTTGGCTTCTCTGGCAAAGTGCATCTGGGTGGAGACCCCAGCCCCATGGCTATGCCCTCACAAACATGTTCAATATTATAATAAATGCCCGAAAATCCAATTACTTTACCACAATGCTGAAATATATTTTGATTTTGTGTACGGCCCCCCCATATGTCGATTTTCGGGCCGGGGCACTTGGCTTTTGTGGTCAGCAGCATTCGACCGCGTGGTGCAGCATTCAAAAAGCCGTAAACCGTAAAACGCAAGTTGCAGCAAACAAAGAACTCATGCGGCTTGCAATTGTGAAAGGTCAACATTCATTTTGGGGATTTTTCACTTTTCCTTTTTCTCGTTTTTCCCCCTTTCATTTGGCCCACAACGGCCCAGCGGGACATCGAAATTCGAAAAAGCCGAATCCGAATACCGGGGGAAGTGTGAAAATGCTAGATCCGCCGTCCATGGGGTTAGGGTCCGGTGGGGAAAACAACAAATTTCATTGACTGACTGCTGCTGGGAATTAATTGAGGCAGCTTGACAGCTGCTCTGAACCTTTCAACCCACCAACCTACCAACCTGAGTTGAGACTTAAAGCCAGAATTAAAGCCAGCAGGAGGCGCTTTGGAACAAAGTTGTCAGTTGGTCGTGTTGCCGGCTGTTAATGAGCATTCAACTGGCTAATTAATTTTATACATTTATTAAACTTTGCCCCTCTTCTGGCCAAAGAACCTAGGCAGCCACCAGGCCGCCCGCCCAGTCGGCATCCCACAAACTATTTACCATACAAATCTAATTTTATCAACTTTGTCTTCGGACGCTTAACTAGCTTCGGCCGTCTGACAGTTGTCTTGTGTCCCCGTCCTTTTCTGACTCTATTACCATTTCTCTGGTCCCTGTCCTCTGTCGCAAGGACCTTCGGCCCCTGCTCCTTCTGTCAAAACATTGTGACACAGTTCTGCTTTCTTACAATTTGCCCCGCTCTTTATTTAGCCACGTTTGCTACGGCTCGCGCCATTCTCTTGGCTCATTAACGTTGGCCTTTGTTTCGTCCTGTCATCGTTGTCCTGCTCGAGGTGGAGCAGCAGCAGGAAAAGCTGGAAAAGAGGAGCTCAGCTCAGGCTGAGGGTATCCTGTATCTATCGCCTTTGTGCGGTGGCCTTTGTAATTTATAAAAGTCCACCGAACGGACTCCAACTTCTCCGTTCATTGCTAATATCTGTCGGGTTGGCCAACTGGGATGGTTGGATTGGGTTGGGTTGGGGTGGGTTTAGCTCCTCGGGTTGGCATGTAAATCAGGTCAAAACAATGCAACTGACAGTTAATTGTCCTGGCTGGGAGGCTGCTCCTCCTAACCATTCACCCCTTGCCACAATGACACATTCAGGACTCGAACAGTTTTACTTCATTATTGGTTACTCAGCAATTCATTCAGAGGACACACCTTGTATCTGTAGATGTGTCCCTCCACATTGCCCTTTTTATGGCCATGTCCTTTGCTTATCCTTCGTCTGGCTGGCCTGACTAATGACAAGCACTAGTATCAGGCGACCAATTCGCCGGCTCTCCGTCGTCCTTTTGTAAGCCACAACGATTCGAGACTAGAGACTTGGCTCGAGAAGGACTAGTGTCCTTCGACAGGCATCTCCTCTTTTTGTTTTTATACCTCTATACCTCGGCGAAAAACCGAACTTATACAGGACTTACAGGAGGGGGGCGTGGCCAGGACACTGGGCTCCTGGACAGGTGCTCGGTTCCTCTTCCTCTATTTTTACAACAAAGGCATAAATTATTCCTGCTGTCAACATGGCTTCCTTGGTCCTGTAAATGGCAGTTGGCCTGCGAACTCGAGCTTATTGTTTGTCTATTGATTTGAATTTGCCCAGGAATTATGCAAGTTATTCCATATCTGTCGCTCTGCAAACAAATGCTTCTTGTATCACAGTGTCTGGAGTTGTGGGCGGGAGCTGGTCGGGATGTTTAATTGTTATGGATAGTCACAGCGGAATTGTGCAATCTGTAGCTTCGATTACCGATGTCTGCGGCTGACTATCAAGAATTTATTACAAATTCCATCGAAAAGTATAGTTTGCGGTGGGATTTTTAATGAAAAAGATTATCTCAAATGTAATATAAAGTTTGCCAAGTCATGAAACAATTAAATACTCTTGAATGAATAATTGCTTTCATCAAAATTAGATCACTATTAACAAAAGCAATGAGTAATGTGTGATTTGTAATTTAAATTTCATATTTATTTCTGGTTCTAAATCATTACAAAAAGACAATAATGCTTAGCTGAAAATATGTTAAAAGAGCTTTGCTAATTTGGTAAATTATTCAAAGGCCGACCTTCGGTGGGTGTCACCAGATTTGGCAATTTGTCCATGATTATGCCAGATTAAAAGCCTTCGAAAGTATCAAATGGGAGTTCTGGCCCGGTCGCAACCATTGCCATGCAAATCAATTGTCCAAGTGCGAATGGCCCGAACAATGGCCGAAAATTGTCAAACTCTGACCACAACTAAATACAATAAATGAATAACTGATTCGTTGTTGGGGCCAGAAACTAATTGCGACTAACTTTGCTGATTTCCCCCATACCCTCATCGAAATGGACTGATAATGGATGATAATTACACTCCAAAAAAATGGCATATTCTGCTCTGTGGCGTAATTGTATGCATTGTGCGTAATGAAATTTAGTTCCATCATGCAAAAAGTTAATTGCCATAATTGCATTTAGCCCATGAATCAGAATCAGGGCTTAGATTTCGCCCGATCTGGTATATAAGTGGCTGTTCTGGAAACAACTGGCCAACAGTAATCCGGAATAGATCCAGAAAACACAACTCACAATGAAGGCCGTTCTCCTCTGTGCTTCTCTGGCTGTTCTCCTGGCTGTTGGTCAGGTAAGACCCTATCCGTAGGGGTTACACTTCCCTCCATCTAACCTCTGGAATCTCTCTAGTGCGCTCCTGATTTTCGGCAAATTATGCAACAGTGCATGCAGGAGAACCAGGTGACTGAGGCGAATCTGAAGGACTTCATGGCCCAGGGAATGCAGGGCACTCCCAGCCAGAACCTCCAGTGCTACACAAAGTGCCTGATGGAGAAGCAGGGACACCTAGTCAACGGCCAGTTCAATGCCCAGGCTTTAATAAACACCCTGAAAGAGGTGCCTCAGTTTGCCGACAAGATGGACGAGATCACATCCGGCGTGAATGCCTGCAAGGACATCAAGGGCACCAACGACTGCGACACTGCCTTCAAGGTGACTATGTGCCTCAAGGAGCACAAGGCCATGCCAGGACATCACTAAGATGTTTCTCTTGTTTTTCTTCTATCTGAGATTGCCAAACTCAGATGGTGAATATTGTGTGAAAAAATAAAGTTGTTCAAGTTGCAGTAAAGCAAAAGCAAAGTATATGTTTTCAATCGATATGGCAAGGACTGGTGCGTCCAAATATTCTTAAACTAACCCAGAAACCCAGCTCAGATACCCACAATGATAGGCTAAGAACTGGCAGACAGTTACACTCCGTGATTTATCAACAAACTTGGCCCTCGGGATTCTGGGAAGCTGAGACCTGCATTGACAACCTGCTTCCTGCAAGCCACCACGGCGTTGCCTACGAAAATCATTTGTCAATTTTAATAAGTTTAAAATCAAGATAATTAAAAGAGCAGCAATACGAGACAACAAACTGGGTATGCTGGGATGACAGGATGCGGGGGGCAATGGGAATCCTTTCCTTTTCTTCGGAACACTGTGACACCAATTACCGCTAATAAATCATTTCACGTGTGAGATTCTTCCCCCAGTGCGCTCTCCACCTATGACTTTGGGTAACATATGAGTTGGGCTTAATGGGAAGGCAGCCGGGAAGGTGGAGGACCAAAAGGGTAGGGAATCCAGAGCCAATGTAACCGTAGAAGATGTAACATAAATCAACGCCGCAGCCTGCAATGGAAGAAGACAAACGCGGTTCATTGCACTTGTCTGACGGCATCGTCGATTCCCGGGGATTGGGATCGAGAGTCAAGCTGGACCTGGGGAGTAGTATTGGGTGTGAGAGTGAGGAACTATGGGGCCGGCAGGTTGACAAGCCCAGCGACATGAGACAACAAAATCTGTGCTGTTCTCTGCTGTTCCCTGCCCGTAAAAAGAAAGCCAAGAATTCTTTGAAGGACCAACCCAGTCCAGCCAGGCAATGACAATTTGAAAAAAGAATCCCGGCTTCTCGTTTGAATTGAAAGGTCGTAGTCGTAGTCGCCATCGTCTTCGCCTTCGCAGTAGGAGATGTAGATGAATCTGGAATTGGAGTTGGGAGACCTGGACCTGAAGCTGGTGCTGGAGCTGGAGATGGGGCGTTGGCATGGCAGCCACATGCATACAAATTTTACCCACTTCAAATTGTGCAGCCCGGCCATGCATATAATGGCTTGGCCTTTTATCAACTAACAAATACCAGGCAACAAAAAACTTACCAACGATGGATGACTACAGTTGCAGGCTGTAGGGTTTGGGTTTGAAGTTGGAGCTGGAGTTGCACTGGAAAACTCAATTTGAATATTGCTGGGCGAAACGAAACAGGCAAGAAGAGCCTTGGATGGGGGGTTCTCCAAGGCGAAGACGTTGGGCCACATGATGAAATGCAGTCAAGTTAAAAAGTGTCACTTGAGTTATGAGTTCATTGTTTGTAGTTGCCAAGAGACCAGACCAGACCAGACCTGGCCAGACGATGATGGAGCAGGCTTCTTTTCAATGGGAGAACCCTTTGAGCTTTCCAGCCTCGGATGACTAAGACGAAAATTATTATATAGACGGCGTAGTTTATGGCCAAGTCAATCTGGTGAAGACAATACATAGTTTCGATACGCTCTGCTTTTGGCCGGGTGGTTGGGTGGCTGGGTGGGTTGGGCTTAATTTGATCCTAGAACTCCGATAGCGACTCAGTGATAAGCTCTTCCGCCCAAAAGCCGCACAATTGTCACCCCAAAAAGAATATTTCTGTTTCTGGTCTATTTTCAACACTTGCTGGGTGGCATTATCGGACCCAACCGATCTCATTCGCCGATCCAGTGTCACAGATACGAGATATAATGGAATTGGAAGCATAGACACATTCATATGAAATGAGTTTCAATTTTGAAAAATTGCTTTTGGAATGGTTGTGTGAAAAACGGAAACGGAGTTTCCCTTTATGAGTTTTCCCCCTCTGCCGCTGCTCGACTGGTGTTTTTGTTTCCTCATTCCGAGGAGCGTGTGCCCAAATTAGAAGGCAAAGGAGGAGTTATTATCATCGGAGGGTATGAGGGGTTTCTCAACCGAATTTACGGCCCATAGTTGACACTTTAGTTGCACTATGGGTGAGTGTTGCACATTATGTGCGGGTGCACGTTTTCCCGCTCGGAAAAGTAACGGCAAACATTACCGCTCAAGATGCAGGGGCACGGCAATGGCAATGGATCGCAGAGAGATACCAGGTTCCCCTCGATCTTTCACATCACCCTCTCCGACCCGGACCCTAATACCCCTGATAAATTTACATATCCAAGAGTTTTATTGCTAAATCCTTATTATGTGGGAACTGGCCCAGTGTTGGCTCAGTTTTTCGGGAATTTAATTATCGGTTGCATGTCAACGCCTATTCGATACCTTCATTATGCCTCCGGGTGGCACAGTTCCTCCGCGGCTTTGTAATTAAGCGCGCCTAAATATACACTCTTTGTGAATTCTAATTTTAATGTCCGACCCTGTCTATTTTTGAGTATTTCTGGGTGTCTATTGTATTCGACATTTGGTTATAGAATACTAGGTAACACAGAATTTTTATTTAAATTACCCGGATGTTAACAATTTTGTGTCCATGGTCTCTGATCTGGTCCCAGTAGTGGCATTTGATTTATGAATATAATGTAAGGTTTGGTTTGAAAATAAGGGGTACCGCGTACTGTGTTGAGAGAATAGTCACCCAAATGAACCCAGTCTATATTCAAGTATATCTCTTCTCCATCAAAAAACAGCCCCAACTAAGGGTTTGGAACTAAGTTGTCAATCAAATTGTCGCTAGAGCCCCCAGCCCCACGGAAATTTATTAAATCGATACCGATACTTCGTCAAAATGGAAAGTGCCTGGCAGGGTAGGACAGGTATTATGAAATGGGAAATCCCCAGAATGACAGACAGTGGAAAGCCCCAGTGCAAACATTTGCCTTGATTGCATTACTAACCTTGGCAATGGAAAGGCAAGAACAAATATTTGAAAAAATCGAACATTTGTGGGAGGAAAGTGTATGGAATATGTGAGGAAAGTGGGTTGCATAAATTTATTGTTATTACGGGTGATTTTCTAAAATAATTAATAGGACTCTCTGTGGCTGTCACTAGCAGAAATTACAATTACAAGAACAGTTACATTCCTAACAATGGGAGGAAAAGGCCAAAAGCGGCCAAAAAGAGGGAGGGTGTCCGGCAATTGTGCATTTTGTCAATGGGAATTAAATTGGCAGTCGTCGACTCTCAGAATGTCAACTCACACCAGCACACCAGAACACCAACAGGAACTGACAGCTAGGCAGGGGGACGAGGGGGATGGATGTCTCAAAACGGCAGGATGTCAAAGTTCCTAAAAGGGACAAAGTCGGGTGGTTCAATTGTGGGCATGTTGAGCGGTATATAGTACGGATTCGATCGTTCAGTTGGCTGGCTATTCCCATCATTAGCGCCTGTACGTGTCAAATTGATGCTGTTATTGTTCTCCGTAGTAGTCCTGCATCCTGCAATCTCTATGTGTGTGTGTATATCCTGGCAATAGAATGGCCGTGAGTACTATTTGACATTTAGCTTAGCCGCGGGTGACAAATTTAATGGACGACGACTACGCACCACATCTTCCAAGGGTGCTATTGATTTTCTATCCTTGTGCCCATGGCCCAAATGAAATCCATTCAATTATTTGACTGTCTAATTACTGTTCTATATTCCAGACATTTGGCATAAATATTTGGTAAATACCACATAAACCCAGTAACTCCCAACAATGGCTCTCTCAGCTGGCATCATTTTGGCATCAGTGCTGGGATTTGAACCCTTTCATGAGGAGATATCTCTCCGTAATCCCCAAGTCTTATCGCTCAGGTCGTGACATCCCCATATCAGTATTCTACAAATTTTGGATTCACCAGAAGTCTTTCCACTTCGAACATAAATCAATTAGTTGTGGACACTTTTCCAGGCCGGAGCTCGGATCGAGCTCGTAAATAATGAATTTTGAAGCCCATACAGGTTTTGAATTGGTAAGTTCCATAGAATGCCTTACCTGGCGACCTGCTACGTGTCTTGGCCATATCTTAGATGCTTCAAGCTTCAAGTCTGAGCCTGAGCCTGCTGCTCTCATATAAATTATTTTTGATTGATGTGGCACGGCGAGACTGGAAGCACGTGCAACCAGCCGGGGCAGTCAGGCACTCAGGCGACTCTTTGAAATTCGTCAAACAACTCAAGCCCAAAAATATAACCAAAGGCGATGATGATTAAAATGCAACCAAGGTTACGTGTGGCGTCCAAGAAAACATAACTGACAATATAACAGAATACAAAAAAAATTGTTTTAATTGTCTTTGGATTTTTTCTTGCATAAGAAATACATATGATTTTTGAGTTCTTTGAATTAACGAGCCATGGACGTGCCCGGCATTTCTCCAGGCCTCCCCTCAGTAATTCTGAGTAATTTATTATTTCCCACTTTAGTTATGGATCAGAGACGGAGAGTAGTGTGTAGTGTAGTGTGTGGTTAGCCGTAAACTAGTTTAGTGACGCCTCGTAACTGTTCCTGGGAAAGCGGTCGCCAAGTGAAAATTCTAAATTCCTCCTCCTTGCCTTTCTTTCGAGTTGCACGTGTCTGGATTGAAGGCACGCTCTGGGGTCGCAACACCATCTCCCCCTGCCGAGTCCACTCTGCTTGATTGAAGTACAATTTCGGAGTTTGGGCTCTTAAAGTGCCATAAATGCGATTCCCCGGCAAACCCTTGACTATCTCTATCTAGTCGCCGCTTTTATTGGCCTGGTTCTTTCCGTATGTAATTGCTATTATTTCCACTGCTCGGTTCGGTCTAAGGTCTTCCAAGAATTATTACGGCCTGTACTTGCGGCTTTCCCGGGAATGGCTTTTAAGGGGGTTTTAATCATTGAATGCAATTTAATAGAGGTGCCCAGGTACTATTTTATGGAAGTTTATGGAGGACTTGTAAACAGCTGGCAGCGATTAATACGACTGATTAGAAAATATAATATATTATTCATAGGCCAGTTATTAAAGTTTATTCCTCTGGTATTTTTCCTCCTTATTTCGAGAAGCCTGGCCTGGTTCCTGGCATCCTTGGCAAGTGCTTTCCACCACCTGGCCATCCCGTGTTTCG